TTCCGGTTATTACCCGTCCCCTTGTGTGTTACTGTATGTAAGTAAGTTATGTATGTATTACATGGCCACATTCTCAACAAAGTAATGATATGACTCCCACTATTAATTGAAATGCTTTTATGGATTTAGAAAATGATTTTATTGATTTAAAAAATAGTTGTATATTGATTTAAATTTACATGCATCCGCTAAGGAAAATAGTCCGTTGTTACCGTTTGAAAAAAACGTAGCAACGCAACGGCAGGAAGGCGGAGCTTTTTGATTACAGATTTGAAAACATCGTTGCTTGCTTTAAAAGTAGCACAATTCATTATGTCAAACCTTGGAAAGTATCTAGATATCCCTGCCCTAATGCCAAAGTAACTGGCAACTGAATATGTGTCGCCGTTTGATGTCTATGTCTGGACCGCTGCGTAAAAAGGAGGGTTTCTGCCCGTTACTTCTCCGCTGTTTTCTTGTCGCTCTTGTCTTGTCAGTTAGAAAAGCAAACTGCATGCAGTTTGCTTTTCGGCCAAACTGTACACAGTTCAATCGACCGGACTTGTTTGTGCAGATGTGAGCGTCCTTAACAACGGTCAATAAATCCTTGACAGCGGTCTGTCTGTTCTGGATTAACAACGTGTCACGTGTTCTAAATTGACCAATCAGAATCGAGTATTCAACTAAGCCATGTAATAAGTAGCTTTTAATGCATGTAAATGGTCTGCAGAGTCACAAACCCTCAAAGTACACCCTGTAGCGAGTAAAACTCTAACACAGAAAAGACCTGTCTATGCTGCCCCAGAACGCCTCGTTGGAGATTTCTCTTTCTCCATTGTTTACTTTAATGGACCGAACTGCGGAGCCGTTACGTTACGTCCGCGGAGCCGTTACGTTTGGACCAATCCGCAGACTTCCTCACACACACACACACTCGGCGGGACGTTGCGAGGCTCGCTGCTGCGAGGAGCGGGACACTGTGAGCAGGCTCACTGGTGTGGGGTCGGCGAGACAGCGAGACACCGCGGAACTCAGCCTGGGCACACACACACAAACTCCCAGCCAGGCTGCGGGTGTGTGTGTTTCGCTGTGTCTCGCTGTCTCGCAGACGGCCACTGGGCTCACAAGGAGGGGGGGGGGGGGCAAGGAGCTCCAACAAGCCGTTTAGGACAGAGAGTGAATACACATACTATACAGAGATGCTGTATGAGAAACCAATGTGAGTTTGGAAAATTGCACAATATAAATGTATTTTAGTATTCCTCAACAATGGAATTATGATCAGTAGAAATGGCCATGGGACCTTTAAGTGAATACAATATAGGCACCACAGTTATTTGGGGATTTTGATACATATACTATATACACAAAACAAAGAGTGCATCTCCGCTTTTAACGTTTAAGTAGACCAAAATGCAATTTGTATTACATCTTTTGAGCCACATCATTTATTTTACATTCTAAATTAGACTCAATCGGACTGTGTTTTGTACAGAATGCTATATAAATCATTGTTACCACTGCTGAGTGTTGGATAACATGGTGTGTCCATAGTTGACCGAGAGGATTACACAGCTTAGCGTCTCCAAATCAACCTCACGCATCAAAAACAAGTGTCTGAGCTGCAAAGCTACAAACCACAAACAAAGGAGATTAAGAAGAAGAAAAGTGACGGGCTGTTTCTTATGATCTCTATGGAGAGGAGAGCCAAACACAGGGTCACATTCTCATGAGACCAGATGATGAGAGTAATGTGCTGGGAATAAGAGCGATGCAGCAGCTGAGCTCCACCCAGAGGGTACGTTTACATCATATTACTTTATAACCTAACTGGAGCTATAGTTAAAACTACTGAGAACTTTATAATGCCAATGCTGCAAGACAAAGTCTGAAAACACGGTGGCACACTGTTTGCAGAAATAGGTTTTAATTGTGTCTTGATGATGAGTTTATAGATGTATTAACTTGAACATTATGAACACAAACTTCGATCCCTATAAGGCCATTCCACATGTTATTAAACTGAAAGTCCTGCAAATCAAATCAGCTCGCCGGATTATGATTAAAGGCACAACTGGAAATGCTGCTAACAATGGGAAAGGAACAATGTGTCATGTGTTTTCTTGCCATTATTTCAATATCAATTGTAAGGTTACGTTACCAGAGACGAGATGAGTTGTTTTAAAAACAAAACTCAGAGATATTAGGTTTTCCTTAAATAAGGGCGTAATAGATTTATACAATTACTGAAATTCATGCTGATTATTTTCTTTTTGATTGACTTATTGTTTCAGCTCGACCTGCATGAGTGTTATCTTCTAACACAGAGGGCGGCTGCCATATCATCTGCCACGCCTTAAATGAAATATCAAGGCGGGACACACCATTTGTAAATAGTAGTGTATCGTTTTATAAGCCAAGCCATGTGCATTATTATTTGATCATTTAACTGTGGCAGTTAGATCCTGTTTAAGTGACTCTACTACTGCTGAAGCCAGGAGAGTAAACTCCTCATGATTACAGTTATCAAAGGTCGTCAAAAACAGTCATTTCAAAAAACTGAGAGAGGAAGGTACGAGCCACATTTCCAAGAATGTTCTCCACAGACTGTAGAGAGCACTTCATTGGTGTCCGAACATAAAAACATGACCATCAGTTCCTTCCTGAAAATTCAACTGACTTTGCAATACTCCCACTGGGACCATATGACAGGGTTCCTTTTTCCTCCTCACATTCTCAGAAGCAAGAAGTTAACACGGACCCAATGAGGGTTAACAGAGAGATACGTGACATGATATGCATCACTATGTTGCACGCACTAAAAATCAACATTAAAACAAGTCACACAATGTTTAGCCGCTCATATAAGGCACGAAATACAAGACATGACCTGTCTTCCTGAAACAGGATTTGGAGTATCAGTTACACCAACATAGCAGCGCATCGATATCAACAGTCAATACCAGAGTTCACCGGCCAGGCTCTTCGGGCCCGTGGAAACTCCATGTGGCCGCAAAACCTGGAGAGCATTTGGTCTCAAGACTATAAGTCCTCACAGCAAATAAATGAAACATAAGAAGAAAGCATGAAGACAAGGTCAGGATCATTCATTACTGCTTGCGTAAAGGCTACAAATTGAAAGATGTCAGCGCTGAACACAAGGTACGATCATTTAGCTAATAAATAACTGACCACCGAAGGTTTTACACAAAGGAATAGATCTTAACTGTGTGTGATTTAAGGGGGTAAGAAACTCTTGTTACACTTGAGTTTTGCAATAGACGTTTTTGTGATCATTTTAATCTGAACAAAACAAACCAATTTTGTATAATATTTAAATGGAAATATTTGTGGCAGAATGACTCAGATTGCACAAAAAGTAGTGCGATCAGGTTAAAAAGACTGTGATACATTCAAATACATATATTAATGTGTTCTGATTGCATCAAATCAGAACATTCCTCTCATGTTATCTACTGTAAGACTGAATAGAGGAGGTGACGTGCATGGACATCCACAGATCCATCGTGCTGAAGTTTAGTTGACACACACGAGGCACCCGAGTACTGCTGCTGCTTTCTTTTAACAACCAGGCACACTTACGCACTGCTGCGAACCAGGAGAGTCCCTCCATGACCCTTTGACCCTGTGTCAAGTGTCAACTTTCCACTAAATCAGGGAGCACCTGCTGTTTCAACATGTTTACAAGGACTGACGGGATTTGAATTCACTGGAAAAACAAACAAACAAACTCCAGGAACACTTATAGAGGAAAAGCTGAAAACCCCTATTTTTTGTCTCCTCATTATTTTCATCCTTATTAAGCTATTTCATCATTCTCTATTATATTTCTCAATGGTCTTAGTTTGTATATGTTATTATCTGTTTGCTCTTGTTTAAATGTGTTGCATTCTTGTTTTCTTGTAAAGCTTTTTGAGCTGCATCTCTTGAAAAGTGTATTTAAAAAAAGTGCTGAATAAATAAAGCTTTTCTTAGTATAGAAAACTACTTTATTGTCGGTTTTGCCGGTGTTTTACGAAACCTAATTGTGCCATAAAAAGTCTACTAAAACTGTTGGCCATTATGGAATCAACAGGCTATAAGATTGTTAAGCAAGCATGACAACATCTTGCTGGATCTTGAAGAATTGAAGGCTGCCCTAAAGGAAAAAACGAAAGATCGGGTGACTTCGGAGCAGCGTTGAAACAAACGTGATGAGGTAAGTCTTTCTGAAGGTTTTAGAGTGGAAAAACATGTTGCATGATGGTCCAAGCACTAAAGCAAATGAAACACTGCAGCTGAATCATTCCTGAATCTCATCTGTCGACACTACACCAATGACATACTGTATTATTAAGTTACATTCACATCACAAACAACTTATTATTTCTCATTGAAAAAATACTTTTTCGCCTAAAGATTGACAGATGTAGTCCTGACCTGCAGTACATCCGTCAGGAGATGTTTTACAGGGTTTCAATTAAATAAAACTGTAAAATAATGACGTAACAATGCTGGGGGATTTTCCAACACTTACTGACAGCAGTCCATTTTTGATGACTATGTGTTGAAGTCACCTGGGCTCCTTACAAACAAGCCCAGCCCACAGGACTAGAGTTCAGAGAGAGAGAGAGATAACAAAGTAATCCTTTTAACCCTGTGTGACTGAGAGCAAACTGAGCATGGGGTTATTATAAGAACTCTTGTGCTTCAGGCTTAAACATGAAAAACTGTCCTCATAAAAAACGAAAATAAAGGACAGCATTTCAAAGAAAGACAACGCCTTGATCTTGTAATCATGAAAGCCTCTCATATCATTTGACTATAGGTTATTCTACTCTGCAGCTCCTAAGCGGGTTTCCCCCTCTCATAACCAAAAGGAAAAGACAATCATTTGCAAAGCAGTTGTTAAAGTTAGTGGAAACATGAAGACCCCCAGACCTTTTTCCAAGTCAAGTGCATGACTTTTAAGACTGCACACAATACTTTTCCAACCTTTAAAAACATTAAAATCCACTCACGCTTCGTTGCATTGATGAGGTTCTTCCCATCTTTGTACAGTTCTTTGATAAATCTGTTCGTTTTGTCCAGTTCTGCTTCGTGAGACTTTATTTTCTCCCTGAAGCTGGGGCTGTCCAGATAGCATTCACTGAATTCCAGCGGGTGTAGTCCCATTTCTGTGACAGATTGATAGCTTCTTTTTTCAAGAACGGGAAACTGGGCGAAATGACGCTGACTGTGAAGCTTTTTAAAAAACTAGCTTTTACAATCAAATTGCCGCTCTTTCAGCTGGCAGTTGGTTTGAAGTGCAGCAGATAAACCATAGCTACGTGTAGTAGCAGCAGCTAACGGTGGTTAGCATGGTAACTTCTGACACAGGCGCATGGGTGTTGTTCCACTGTTGTCAAGTAACGAAAAGAACAGCTAACAGGTAAAACGGTTAAAAGTTGATAACGATACGCTGTCGGGTGAAGTGCTCATGGGAAGTCGGTTCACGGGAGTTGTCAGAAAGTCATGGTAGCTGCATCCAGTTTTTCCATCAAACGTACTCCACCTCACAGAGTGACAGATTGAGAAACTCTGCTGACATCTGTGTGCGTGTAGCAAAACTACTGACAAAGATTCTGACAAAGCTCCTGCAAGATGATAAACTCTAACCTACTTCCGCCTTCGCTTCGCTTCAGCGTGAGCACTGATTTACAGCGCGAAAGATGTCAACAGTGGTGTGTATTTAGATATTGTACTTCGGTAAGAGTGACAGTAACAGACTGAAACAAAAAACGCAATTACAGCTTACATTTAATATATTATTTCAGAATAAAAATAAATAGGAAAAATGTATGTGACTGGTGGATACACTAATCAAAATACAATGTATTGCCAAGTATATTTACACATGGACTAACTTGGTTTCCTATACAATAAATATAATTACCAAAATATATACATATATATATATATATATATATATATATATATATATATATATATATATATATATACAATTAGAATATAAAGTTAGGAACGAAAATGGCCCGGTAGACAGAGAGCTTTGCCTTCTGGCTCAGCTCTCTTTTCGTCACAACGGTGCGGTAAAGCGACTGCAGTACCGCTCCCGCTGCTCCGATTCTCCGGCCCATCTCACGCTCCATTGTTCCCTCACTCGAGAACAAGACCCCGAGATACTTGAACTCCTTCACTTGGGGTAAGGACTCATTCCCTACTTGGAGTGGACAGTCCATCGGTTTCCTGCTGAGAACCATGGCCTCAGATTTGGAGGTGCTGATCCTCATCCCAGCCGCTTCACACTCGGTTGCGAACCGATCCAGTGAGTGCTGAAGGTCGCAGACTGATGAAGCCATTGGAACCACATCATCTGCCAAAAGCAGTGGTGCAATCCTTAGTCCACCAAACTGCAGACCCCCTCCCCCACGACTACGCCTCGAAATCCTATCCATGTATATTACAAACAGGATTGCAAACCCTCACCGGAAATGGGTCCGACTTACTGCCGAGGACCCGGACACAGCTCTCGCTTTGGGAGTGCAGAGATTGGATGGCCCTGAGTAGAGACCCCCTCACCCCATACTCCTGCAGCACCTCCCACAGTAACTCCCTGGGAACCCGGTCATACGCCTTCTCCAAGTCTATAAAACACATGTAGACCGGATAAGCGTACTCCCAGGCCCCCTCCAGGATCCTTGCGAGAGTAAAAAGCTGATCCGTCGTTCCACGACCAGGACGGAATCCGCATTGTTCCTCCTCAATCTGAGGTTCGACAATCGGCCTGACCCTCCTTTCGAGTACCTTATGGTGCATTTCCACCACACGGTCGGCCTCGGCCTCGCTTGGTATGGCTAGGCCGCGTTGGGCCTCGTTAGGGCCGGCTCACTTCATGCTGCGCTTCCATTACAGTTTAGGAACTGGGGTAGTATCTATAGTAACGCAGTGTAGGCGGAGCCGTGACGTCATCTTCAATGAGAACCCCAGAAAAACAACACAGCCGTTAGCTGTTAGCACTCAGAGCTCACAGCTCCTCATATCTGTTCAGAAACTAGACACAAGTTAAACAAGTACACACCACAGACTGCCTGTGTCATGGTGAATACAGTCGCTGCTTTATTTATGTCTGTATAGGCCGTTGTTGTGAGTGTGGACGGTCGGAGCATATACTACGTTAGCTTAGCCAATCTCCATTTAGAAAACACGCATTTTAAAAGGTTCTTCGCCTGCCGTCTGTCTGCAGACTTGTCAAAGCATTAATTCATGGTTTTTACTAACCGGTATCAGTATGTTGTTACTTCAGCATCATTTTGAAACGTGTATTACAATTAAATCACGGTCAAATATGTTCATCTTGTTGTAGTTGTAGCCCCCTTGCCAGCGATTCTCTCTCTAGTTTAGCAAACTCAGCCCGACTCAGCCCTGTTTGTTGGCCCCGATAGAACCACGATTTTGTCGGGCCAGAAAAGAGGTGAAAAAGTACCCCCGGGCCGGAACTAGGCCTAGTGGAAACGCAACCAAAAACGCGCCCGGCACGACACGGCACGACACGGCACGCTTAAACCGCGCTCCGCGCCATGGTGGAAATGCGCCATTAGAGTAAAGTTTCCCGGGGAGGCTGAGTAGTGTGATGCCTCTGTAATTGGCACATACCCTCTGATCCACCTTTTTGGAAAGGGGAACCACCACCCCGGTCTGCCACTCCTTCGGTACTGTTTCCGACTTCCACGCAACGTTGATGAGACGTGTCAACCATGACAGTCCCTCAACACCCAGAGCCTTCAGCATTTCTGGGCGGATCTCATCCACCCCCGGGGCTTTGCCACTGTGGAGTTGTTTGACGACCTCAATGACCTCCCCCCGGGAGATTGGTGTTGATCCCCCGTCATACTCCAGCTCTGCCTCTACCATAGAGGGCGGAGTTGTCGGGTTCAGGAGTTCCTCAAAGTGTTCCTTCCAACGCCCTAACACTCCATCAGTTGAGGTCAACAACGTCCCATCCTTACTGTACATAGCTTGGATGGTTCCCTGCTTCCCCCTCCTGAGGTGTCGGACAGTTTTCCAGAACAACTTTGGTGCCGCCCGAAAGTCCTTTTCCATGTCTTCTCCGAACTTCTCCCTCACTCGCTGCTTTGCCTCGGCCACGGCTGAGGCTGCTGCCCTTCGGGCCTTTCGGTACCTTGCAACTGCCTCGGGAGTCCCCCGGGATAACAAATCCCTGAAGACCTCCTTCTTCAGTCGGACGGCTTCCCTGACCAGGAAGAGCTGTATGAAAATATATTCTAGGGCAGATGTTTCGAACTCTATATGATAAAGAAAAATGTAAGAGAAGAAAAGTGAGAGCGAAAAGGGGATGCCATTAACCACGGCCCTGGGGCCTGCTAAGGCAAAGACTTGCAGCAAGGCAAGGGAAATTCAACAGAGGAAAAAGGAAAAGTGATCTCTTAGATACAGTTCAGTACACCTCCCACATGGACCCTTTAGTGCCTCTAGTTGCCCCATACAAGGTCAATAATCAAGGTAAGTCATCAAGAACACCAGAAGCCAAATCAAAACGATCACAGGGGACCAAATAGTGCTGCATAGACTTCAGAGGGGAACCTCCTGCACCTCCTTTTGACTGTCACGGCCCGTCCACACAGCGGCGTTGGAAGCTTCTTCCAACGCTTCTGCCCATTCACTTTGAATGGGGTGACGTCACTTTTCGCCAAACTGCATTGTGGGAAGCAGAGCGGAGCTTTGCTGGCGTTTCAGGCTGCAAAAGTTGAGCAATGTTCAACTTTTGAAGCTTCTGAAGCTTCGGTGGAAGCGTCAGCCAATCAAATCCCGTTTATGCAGCCAATCAAACCGCGTGTATGCTGGGAGAGACACACCGCAGGTCATTTCCTCATATTCCCAAAAATGGAGCAAGCTTCAACGCACGCCGATGTGTGGACGGGCCATCAGTCCCATGGATCATCACAAACAGTGGAACGGATTTAAAGCTGTGCACAGTATAGGGTACTCGTCCCTTTAGGCCAATTTCAGTCGCAGTAGTCACCTAGGTAATAGACTTCTACAAATATAATCAAAACAAGTAGATACACAAATATTTTCTGCTCAATCCATCACCCTTTAATTTTAAAGTGGATTGCCTGCTGTTATTCTGTCTCAGTCTTACGGTCTCATTGAATGTGTTTTATTATGAGTATGTTGTGGTGTTAATGTTTAGGTTATTTCACTGCAGATGCATGTCCTCATGTCTGAAGCAATAGACTGAACAACAATTTCAATGCGGGATAATAATGTTTATCCTGAATCTGAATCTGAATGTACAACATATACATTGGCACAGATGCAAATGAACTCATTGCTTTCATGTTTTACTTGTGGGGTTGGCATGGGTGGGAACAATCCTGATTCATTGTACTCTTTGATTGTGCTTAAACAGTCTTCTGTCATTGGTTCCATAAGAGGAAAATCTGAGGCGGGAACAACTACTTTGGCTTGTTTTGTAATTAAATACGGACATTGTTATTCAACGTGTTTTGTTTTTGTTTGTGTACAGTTATTATCATGGTTAAAACTGCCTTTCTGTCACTCAAATGTATTAATCCTCTTTAAAATTCCGCACACGGAACCCTGTCTCCCTACATGTTTCTGAACGAGTCGTTTTACGAGCGGACACTCGTTCCTTGTTTAACGGTAGCCGCAATGTGATTTTATTTACACTTTTAATCAACATCTCAGCGTTGTAACGTGGATATTAAAACATACTGTCATTATTTTTGACATGTTGTTGACCTATCGTATCCCATATGGTCATCATGTGAGCTGACGGTGGGCTGCTGACAGAGGAAGGATTATAACGATGCTAACGATTGGACACACAACCGTAATGTTAACGTTATCACGTTAACTAAACAGCAGTGATATTTTCCGTGCATCTCCATCCCATACCTTAACTCAGCCTGTGATCTGTGACAACACACAGTAAGTCAACTAACTGGTAAGTACTAAGCTCTTTTTAATGTATCTTTGTTAAGGTATACATATTTTTACGTAATGTATCCTTCCTATTCATGTTGAGGTTATTATGATGATGGCTATTATTACTTTACATAAATGTGGCATGTGTTGATGCCCATTTGCAGGGAAAAAAATAGATAAACTTATATTTGGGAATGAATAAAATAATATGCATTCATTATTAAAAAGTGTCTAACCGGATCAAAATACCAGAAAATCCCTTGCACATAGTTAAAATCATTTCCTGGCTGCAATTAACAGAAGAGCCAGAATTATTGTTGGTTGCAACAGGGGATCAAATACTTATTTCTCACAGTTAAATGCAAATGAATGTATATCTCTTATATGATGTACATTTCTGGATATTCTTTTTGATATTCTGTCTCTCATTAGTCAAATAAACCTACCATTAAAATGATAGACTGTTATTTTCTTTGTGAGTGGGTAAACTTACCAAGTCGGCAAGGGATCATATACTTATTTCCTCCACTGTATCATCTTAAAATTGTGACAAAAAATGTAAGTCGTTTCATGTCAACTCTTTTTCATCAGTTTGTTGTCTTTTTACTGGGTGAGGTTGGCTTCTATAGTCCCTGGACCACACAGTACAGTACAGAGTCATATGTAGAACCTTGTTTTTAAAGTGGCATTAGGTGTATATTGTATGATGATTTAATGTTATAATACACTCTCCTCCACTCTCTTTTGTTGTGACAGGGATGCCTAATGCCAGTGCTCGACCGAAACACGGCAGGAGGACCCGCAGGCGGCGCAGAGAGGACCCCGCCAGGAACGAGCTAGTCTCCAGCTCTCTGGAGAGCGCCCAGCAGTGCCTGTTCAACCAGGACTATGGAACTGCGTTTGTGCACTACCTTCTGGTCCTCAACCTTGCGCCTATGTTTAAAGACTTTGCAAGGGTAAAAAGCGTTTACAATACCTTGAAAACCTTTCTGTGTGCGTTCACTGCAAAACATTGTGCATCCCATACACAACATAGTCTGTTTTCTCGGCTGCATAATTTAAATATTTTTTGTGAACTTAATTTTGTTACATTTTTCTTCTAGGAGTCCTTCAGGTTCACTCTCTTTAAGTGGACAGAAGAGCTGGACTCTGTGGGCCGCATTCAGGAACTCTTTGACTGTTATGAACAAGCGCTGGAACTGTTTCCTGCTGATGAGGTGATCCTGAACAGCATGGGGGAACACCTTTTCAGGTATGTTCCTCATCTGCATACATATTGTCATTGCGTAGATAAATGCATAATTACAATGGGCCAACACTTCTGTTATTACAAGGAAAAGTGTAGCTTTGCACCGTTGATAATTTGGACATATGAACCAAGATCATCAGACTCGGGGACAGTTTTATCCTTCAGGCGATTAGAATGTTAAACTCCAGAGCATTGCATTGTTGAAGTAATCTGGGACTAAAGATCAGAAAGTATCTGAATAAATTCTCTGCTTATACAGTTTAAGTCTATATTGTGGCTCTCCTTTTCTTATCCAGAATGGGCTTCAGGGATGAAGCCGCGGGTCATTTCCATAAAGCCTTGAAGCTGAGACCGGACTATCCCGAAGCCAGGGAGAACTTCTACCGCGTGGCCAACTGGCTGGTGGAGCGCTGGCATTTTTTAATGCTCAACGACCACGGGAGGAACAGGAAGTACCAGCAGGCCATTCAGAAGGCTGTGCAGAGCGGCTGCAACACTGTGCTGGACATCGGTACTGGCACTGGCATCCTCGGGTAAGACATTTCCCATGAGAAATTGGAATCCTTTTTTCTCATTTGAGTCATTGTGTTTAGGGGCTGCATGATTATCTTGTTCTGATTTGCTGATTCTCTCTGGTTCAGTATGTGTGCAAAGAAAGCAGGGGCTGCTGAGGTGTACGCCTGCGAACTGTCCAAGACCATGTATGAATTAGCCTGTGAGGTGCTAACAGCTAATAAAATGGATGATAGCATCAAGATCGTCCATATGAAGTCTTTGGAGATGGAAGTGCCAAAGGACATCCCAAAAAAGTAAGTTATACCAAACATACTTTACATCAAATGTGCAAACAATAGCTTTTTATCTTGGTTTATGCTTTTATGTAATTTTAGGAGTGCAATATCTCATATTTTTCTATTCCATGTTTTGTTCTTAGGGTTTCCTTGGTGGTGACAGAGACGGTAGATGCAGGATTGTTTGGAGAGGGCATCATAGAGAGCCTCATTCATGCCTGGCACCACCTGCTGCTGCCTCCACAGGTACGGGCCATTTATAAACACACACAGAGGACAGGAAACAGGATGCTCCAGTTGCCAGTTGCAATATTAATGTTTCTATGAGTTCTCTGACCCAAAGTCTATTGGTGTTTGCTAGAGTTGAAAACACAAAGAGGTTATTGTTAAATGTTCACAGTTAAGGGTGTGGGCTTGAAAGGGAAAGAGAGAACAACATTTATGATGGCCTTAGAGCTCTCCTTGTCAACTCGTAGGTTACATTTCTTAACGTTTATCCACAGGAACTTGCTTTTTAAACATCCAGCAAAGTGCAAGTTAGCCAAATGGGGCAGTTTACAGTTTACATTTTCACTGATTCTAACACATACAGTAGCCAGGTTAATGATACATTTATCCAGTTAACACTGACGTGTGTTGGGGGTTAATGTGTAGATTCATTCAAATGTTTCTTGTCCTAAAGAGAGGGGAGAATGAGTTCCAGGATCAGTCTGCGACAGGGAGGGTGATCCCAGCTGGAGCCACTGTGTTTGGGATGGCTCTAGAAAGCCTGGAGATCCGCAGACATCACAGGTAGGTCCGGAGTCCATCTGTACCTCATTCACACCAACGCAACTGAGTAGGCTGAGAGTGTCAGATAAAATGTGTTTTCCTGCGATGAACTCAACAGAACCTCAGGACAGAACAGCAGAACAACGATTACATCTCTGTTTGTCCTTCAGGCTGTGTGTGTCAGAGGTGGGCAGTTTGTCCATCTCTGCAGCCGGGGAGCTCCGCAGTCCGGTGAGCTGCAGCCCGGAGCCCGACGAGTCCATGGAGCCGTACACCACAGAGAGACTCAGCAGACTGCCGGGGGGGTATAAAGCTCTCACTGAGCCCTTCACTGCACTCAACATAGACTTCAACAACGTGCAGGTGAGCAGAAACGGGGACAACGCATGCTGATAAACCCAAATCATTTCATGTGTTTGACTTGACTTTGCATGTTCTTTGTTTCTGATATGCAGCAGTGCAGTGTTACACTGTAGATATTCAATACCACTTTTGATACCACAGGGAAAAATGACACATTGAGGGCATTAACTTTGACATTTTTATTTAAGATTCAAAGATTCAAAGGTTTTCAAGTTTCAAAGGTTTTATTTTCATATGCACATAAGCCACAGTGTAGAGATGGCAATGAAATTCTTCTGACCTGAGCTCCTCCAACAATGCAACATGTATAATTAAATACAAAAATAAAAATCTATATACATGTAAATAGAATATGATATGTACAAGAACAGAATATGAAATTAAATAATGTACATTGAGACTAAATTAAATATGGTTTATTGCGATGATAACTATTTATGTAAACAAGTAGATTGCAAGATGACAAACAGGAATGTTTATCGGGGCACTTCAATTGTTTGAAAGATAGACAATGGCAACGTCTCTTTCCTTGGCTAGTAGCAGAGAACAGCAGAATGACTATAATAAACACTGCAGCACCAGAATACTTCATCAGAATGTATATGACACATACTTAGCCTTTAACAAATAGTGTACCTCCTGCGATATTGATTTTGTTTGCATTAATATTGCAATGTTGATACCATTGTGCCGATATCCATGCAACCAATCGCTTGTTTCTTTTTCGTCTCGTCCTTTGTAGGAGCTGGAGGGCCTGAGCTCCAGGGAGGTTCAGAGGATCCGCCTGCCCGTCACTGAGGGGGGGGAGCTGGACGCTCTGGCTGTCTGGTTCCAGCTCCACCTGGACGAGGACAGCAGTCTGTCCACCGGACCGGAGGAGGACACCTGCTGGGAGCAAGCCATCTACCCTGTCCACAGCACCAAGGGTGAGACTCAATAGACTTACAGGGAGAACATCTACGTGTGTTGTCTTGTGTCCAATGAGCGTGGTCCATTTGTTACAGTGTGGCCAGGGAATGTTCCTTGAATTGTTTTTGACTTCTAATAACCTTAGCATGTTTAGAATAGCTGCAATAAAGTTTATTTTATTATCAGCTCAGCTTGCCTGCTCTGATTCATCGTGCATTTCCATGTTACATCAGATGAGGGCAGTGTGCGTTGTAGACTACAAACAGCACTAAAGATGGCTAACTGTTAAATAATGCCAAGAACATTTGGAGGAAATAATCATCACTACCATTTGACTACAGCCTGAAGGTAATGTGGACCAAGATTATCATTTTTTTTTTAAGCCAATCTCCATGTTGAAATGGGGAGAATCATTTTCTGTCATGACAGGATGATAGTATTTCAAAGAAAAATGTATTACCTGCACATACTCTCATCACCTCTGCTTTGATTTTTTACGTTTCGGTCACAAAGACCTTTCTCAAGGATGATAGTACATAACTATTAAGCTCCTTGAATGTTTTTAAACCCTCACAATTACTTGTTACCGCTACAAATGACAATACATTTGAAAACATCACCAAATGTTGAAAAACTATACCAAAAAAATCTAACACTAATGTCATGTTCACTAAAGCTTGCATTTAATCCATTCTACCAAAGTGAAACTGATCATTGTATTGCAACATACTTAAATCGGTAAGAATTGCAAAAAGTTTCCCAAGTTCTGATTAAATAATGAAGTGCCAATGTCCCTTAGATGACAGTATATTCTTCACTGGCTGTCATCCAATCCGTTGTGACCCTAATAGCCAGCGACGTGAGGTGACATGTTCCAGTTGGCTTAGGGAACATCCCCTCTCACACGGGGCTCAGCAGCATCTCACCGCGCTGCTAATGAGCGGAGGCAGCGCCGAGGGATCCGCCACCTCTCCCGGTGATCACCAACATCCGTTTCCCGGTCGCTGTGACGTGTGCGCCGTGATCGCCTGTGACACTCTTTAGTGTTCATGAAATTCTTATAGGCAATAAATATGCATTTTCCCCAAATGCCTCTGACGAGCGGCGCGCTGACATGAAGACATGAACAGATGTTATTCCTGCAGGAATCCTTTCTGGGCCCCCCACCTCCCCTCCCTCTGTGCACCCGGTCCCCTGAATCTCATTTCTCTGTTGGGCTCACTCTCGCTCTGCTTCTCCTTCAGTCTCTGTCTCTTGTTGAAATTGTTGAAATTGTAAAGTCTATTTTATTCATATAGCCCAAAATCACAAATGTACCTTAAGGGGCTTTACAATCTTTACAGTGTAGGACACCCTCTGTCCTCAGACCGCTGTCAGATTAGCTTTTATAGTATTAGAAGCATGACATTATAAATAATAATGTTACTTTTAACTTATCACATTTTTCTCCTTTGTGTTTGTTATTTCAGGTGTTTTTTACATTAATGTAGATTTTTTTTTTTTATTACATTTTATGAGAAATATAAACATTATTTTCTACAGTAACCTTTTTTTAGATGTTGTTGAGAACTATAAGCTGTAGAACTTTAAACTCAACCTAATAATAATAAATGCCTAAATAAAAGAGTCAAAATCTTGCAGTGTTTTTAATTTAAATGTAACCTTCTGATTACATTTTTTTGGGTAATAAAAATAAAATGTCTAAAACTCACTTGCTTAAGTCCACATGTCCGATGCCTTTTTGGTACTTAACAGTTGTTTTCATTCTCTATAACTCAGTGCATCACAGTAGCTACCGACACAGAGTGAGGTTCACACCGCTCCAGTATGACCGGGCTAAGTCGGTGTTTTCTTCTTCTTTTGATTCCTTTCAGGTTTTGTCCTGAAGCCTCAGGACGAGCTGGTGGTTGAAGTCTCCTGCAGAGACGCCTTCCTGCGCCTCTGCAGCGTCGCTGTGCTGAGGGACGGCCATGAAATCTGTCTGGACACGCTCCAGGACCCGCAGAACACTGCAGACCCCGTTTCAAATCAAACCCCAGAGGCAGAACTGTGCAGTGCACTGGCCTGTCTTCAGACGGACCAGAGCCAAACCAAAGACTTCTGCATGCTGGAGTGTTCAGAGATGGCGCTCCTGAACAATCAGGAGTACCATCAGAGTTTCAGCAGCGCACTATCCAAACTCATCTCTCAGATGAAGGTCAAATGTCAAAACAAAGAGCCAGGGTCAGGTGTTCAGTCTGATTCTGCAGACCTGCTCTTCGTCCTCGACGTGTCAGAGGGCTTCTCTCTGCTCTCCCTCATCGCTGCCAGCCATGGACATGTGAAAGCGTTCAGCTCTGTGGAGAAGGTAAAGCAACAGGAAGTCTTAAAGAGACTGGCTCAGTCCAATAATGTCCCCGAGCAGCATCTAGAGTTCTGGCTGAACAACATGGAGGATGAGCAGGGGATGCTGAAGAGGCCGTCCAGGGAGAAGCTGTGGAGCGCCATCATGCTGGACTGTGTGGAGACGTGTGGGCTGATCAGACAGAAGCTGATGGAGAAGGCTTCCCTGGCCCGGTGAGGAGAAGCAGCCAGAGGGGGGGGGGGGGCGTGTAGAGATGTTCCATCCATTTTGAGAATGTAGCTTCGTGTTGTGATACGTTTTTATGTATTTTATTGTTAAATGTATTTCCATGATCTATACTAGGTGTTTGCTGGAAGACGGAGGAAGTATCTTCCCAGCAAAGATCGTGGTGCAGGGTATTCTGGTGGAGTCGGACACGTTGCTGCTGGAGAGTGCCGTCCAGGGTCAGGAGCCGACGCTGGGGTTCAACATCGCTCCGTTCATCAACCAGTTCACTGTGAGTAGAAACGCTATCATGTATCAACGTCAACATGTTTGTGGTTTTACCTTTGCTGGATTGCTTGGATTATTTCCTTTTCATTTTGAGAAACAAAAAGATTTAGGCTACCTTAAAGGGGACCTATCATGCAAAATGCACTTTTGTACGTCTTTTATACATGAATATGTGTCCCTGGTGTTCCAGGGAACTCACCAAGTGTCAGAAAACACAACCCTCTCTATTTTCCTCCATACCCAAATCTCTAAAAAAGGGGCTGCAACGGATCTGATAAAAACTGATCCAGATTTGAACACTGTCCTGACGTCAGGACGGTGGCGCTACGGCTATTGGGCCAACTCCACCAATCAGGAGGAGACAGCCACGGCCATTGCCGTTCGAAAGCGCTGGAGACGCTGTAGTACATATGCCAGGCCTGTAGGTGGTGCTGTTCTCACAGAATCAGCCCTTGCTAAAACAGAGCTAGAAATTGTCAAATTGAGCAAAATGAGGCATGGCTAAAATGCATGATCTGTTTGGTATTTTGAAGAAAAAAAAGTATAAATATGCCTTATATACAGTAGGTATGGTCCTACACTATATTATTCAAATATAGCATGATAGGTCCACTTTAACTAAGACAGCCGGCAAAGGATGGTAGATCACCTGTGTGCGGAAATACAGAGAATCAAGCACATCTCGGGCAACAAAGAACAGAGCAGAAGAAATGATGATGGAGCACTGTTCGGCAGATCATGAAGTCCAGCAACTTCATTCATATTTGTTAAGCATGTTTTTTCTTTTTTTAATAAAACAGTATTTAAAAATGATCGCTGCACAGGGAAAAATCGACTTGGCAGTTGCTGATATTCTGCACGTTAACTGCAGCTTTACCAGGATTTTTCTAAACTGATCACTTGTTAAGTAGCATATTTTCCATTTCAAACTAGATTGTTCTTGATGAAAAAGTTAAGATGGACTTTGATTTATCCCCGTAAGGACATTCACGTGTCATGGCAGCAACAGAATAAGAAGAAACACAGATATTACACATGGAATATACACAAAAAAATGAAAGTATAATAAAAGATACATTAAAAAAAAAAAACAGCAAAAACGTTACTGTGAACTATTCATAAGATCTGTTCTTACTAAATAGTGGTTTTATATATTATCAACATAATAATGAATAAGAAATCACATTTAGACTCACTTAAACCCTCTCAAAGGTACAACTGTGTCAGTCTTTATAACAGAAGTTGCAAAATCTTACTGCTGTGCTTCTCAGCCTGCTCTTATCTTGTATTCTGTCTCATGTTCCTGAGGCAACAACAGTCAATAGCGCCCGTTTTCACATGCGCTGTGTTTGTAAGCTTGCATCATTCTCATTTAGTCTGCCCATTAGTGTTGCTTGTGAGTTTTTAAAAATATGACAGACATATAGTGCAATACTATAAAGGTGTGAAATGTGTTTTTGTTGTGTTTCCAGCCATGTTTGGGTTGTCTTGTGTTGAACCAGGTATTTCTCTTGGAATACTAAGGTCCAGGACGTTGTTTTGTGTTGTGCACTCGTCTTTGATGTTTGCTTCCCAGCTGCGATATAGAAGCAGCAAAATCCCTTTGAATTCTTTCTCTTTATTTGGTCTGGAAATTATATATTTTTTCCAGCATCATGTTTGTGCTCTAATTTAGCGTGCCCCACTCGGGACGGCCGTTTGTTTTAACAGATGTTGTCTTTGAAGCCCTCGGTGGAGGGCACTTTCTAGCACAACTGTCACACAAGACACAACACACAGCTTGGCCCAAGACATTCCTACCTGAATCCATCAGTATACATTACGTCAAGCACATCAAACAGAGAGCTCTGAGCTCTACACAAACTGTGACAGGCAGGGGGAAACATTCTTTTGTTCTGCAGTAAAGGAAACTGTGACACTTTCTGCGCCGCCACTTTGGTTTATACCTCAGCTTTTAAGTCTGTCGCCCTGCGGCCACGGCCTGTTTATCAAGTTGTCAAGAGTTCAAGGTAGAAGATTTGTTTTCGAGCATTAATCAGTGATTGAGTGATTATTCTCTGACACTGGCAATTAAAGCTAAATAATGGTTTGGGAGAAAGAGTCAGCCGCTGTGTTATATTCATCAAACTGCAGCAGTGTTCCTTTTTAAAAGTTGAAAACCTTTTCCATTTGTACAAATCTGTACCATGAGCCAACAGTTCTAAAAGAATATTTATTTCGTTTTTCCATCACCTCATATAGCGGATAGTTCAATCCAAAATAACTTACAATAAGTGCAACCATAAGTATATAGTGTCAGAACAGCAGTTAATTGGCTTCAAATAAGCTCAACCTTTTCATTGAGGTTCAAAATTGTAAAATAAAGCCACAAAAATCAAGTCTTTTTTACTTGTTCACTAAAATGAAGCAGTGTTCCCCGTGTCTATTTTATGGTGTAAATCCATTCCTTCACCAATTTAAAGTTTGTGCCAAACTGAACATCAGGAGCACCTGTTTTGTTTCACATCTCTGTCAGAACTTCTTCCCTGGTCTTTTTATTGGTTTTCATATTATGTAGTTCCTTATTGATAACGTCATCAGATAGGCTTTTCTTTTATCTGCTGAAAACAACTGACTAACGCTGCTTTGATCTTTTATGTCTTTAGGTACCGGTACATGTGTTTCTGGACTTCTCCACACTGGAGTGCAGGCATCTCAGTGAGTTTGTGGAGCTCTTTGTTCTGGACCTGATGGAATCCACAGCCAACTACACCAACAGAGAAGTAAAGGTAAGAAACAAATTAGCCTAATTAGTGATGCCAATGTGATTGTTATTGAAATAATTAAACTCTTGAAAAAGGTCTTCTCTTTTTAAGTACTGGGGTTAAACAGTCCTGAGCTGCTGAACCCTAAATTCATGTAAAATCCCATGGTTACATTCAGGTACAATAACATACATCACCAAAAAACCTAGAAATACTTCATTCCTGATTCCTGAAGATGTACCTGTGCACATCTCCTATAAACAAACTCTAACTTGGCTCTCCTCCTAAATGTTATTTTTCTTTTTTTTGCAAATTAAAAACTAAAATACAAAACCTTAGGCGCTTTCACACCAGGAATAGTTCCGGATTTTGCGTTCACACCAAAAAGATTTTTGCGAACCTTTTCACCCCTTTTTAGTCCCTGCTAGAGAGCAGGGACTTTCCTGGGGAGAAAAAGGTTCCAATTTCTGATTGGCTGGGCGAATTGCAAAACCACGCCCCGTAAAACTCTGAAAGGTTTTTGTGAAGCCGCGATTTTATTTGCTCGCATTAGCATTATTAGCATTAGCATTAGCCCAGCGCACCAACGGAGAGAGACTAACTTATGGCAACACAAAAGAAAACATGGGAGCGGTGGAGATGAGGAGGTGTCGGCGCTTCTGGCGATTTACTCGGAAGGACTTCCGGCCGGGGACTTCGGGTGGCAGTATACGCCGTGAAGTTGTTTGAGGCCAGTAAACCCAAAGCAGAAGAAGAAGAAGTGACGTCAGCGGCTCCCTCAGGGACTTATTCCGGTGTGAACACGATTTACTAGATAGTTCCAGGAAATAAAAGTTCCGGGAACTATTCCTGGGAAAGGTACTTGGGGTGTTTCTCAATGTCGAGGACGCTTGCTTGGTAGCACATGTCTTCCGAGTCACTTGCTTCAGAAGCGAGGCAAGAATCCTTCCTAGCCTCGGAAAACAAAGAATTGTGGAACAGGCTAACAGGTGTGCGTCATATGTGAGCAGAGGTCGCGTTAACCGAATATTTTCCGTCTGACGTAATTTTTCCAAGAATGACGGAAAACTCTGAAAGTAGTCCGTCATTTTGACAGATTAGAACACAACTCTGAACAGCGCCAAAATGTCCACCAGCGGCCCACATTATATTACATCCTTAGTGGCCAGGTCGACTGAGGGCGATCTACTGTAACTATTATTTAGTAATTCACACCCCTGTCCAGTTGGTGGCGAGTGTGTGCATATTAAGTAGCTATTGTCTAGTCTTGTATTTGACCTCGTTGATTACCTCGTTGTTTAACCGGCTTTAGCAATCGCAAAATGTCACGGCAGCTGAGTGTCCGAAGCTTTTTTAATAAGCCCAGTAATTGTGATGGTGTGGCTAAACGAGGTGGAAAAAGAGGGATTGATGCAGTGGAGGATGAAGGACAAGCCAGTAAGACTAAAACTGACAACGTTCAGCCAGCGGCAGAGGGGCAAGCAAGTGGCAAGGAAAAATAAATCATTCATATTCGTTTTGACATGAAAAGTGACCGCACAGTCGGTGTCTCTGTTCATCTTTTTTTTTCTACATGCCCTTAAAAGTTCTGTATGAATCATAAAAAAAAGGAATGAATGAACATTTGCTGCTTAGTACCCAAACATAAATATGAAATATGTCTCATTAAAACATGAAAAATAAAATGACGGGTAATAATGGATTATGACGGAAATGTTACGATCCTGTCCGTCAAAATGACGGACAACGAAAATGCAACCACTGTATGTGAGGCCCCGCCTTAAATGGAGCGCGATTTCTGCCAAGGATTTGGAAATTGGTCCGTGCGCAAAGCATTGTGGGGATTTTAAGACCGCGGAGTCTACACATGTGCAGCCTCGAAATTTCTCGCTACGAAGTACGCCGGCCTCGGTAGAATTCCAAGTATGCTGGACATTGGAACAGTACTTCGGCGGCACTCGATGACGTAGTATGCTTGAAATAGTGGCTCTGGAGCAGCCTTCCTCGACATTGAGAAACACCCTTGGTGTGAAAGCGCCTTTTGTGATTTGGGTGATATATTTCTTGGGCTTTCCAGAAGATATCATCATACATTCAGCAATCTAACATGAGGTGCAATAAGAATTGATCAAATCCATGCTTTTTACCTTAAACTTTCTAAAATCAAAATGCTAAAATAATTTTTCTATGTGGATTATAAACAAACCATAATCTCGTTTTAATTTGTTATGCATCACTGTGTCTAACTTGCGATGTAATTAACAGGTAATGCTGCAACATACATTATATTAAATATGATATAGTTGACTTTGTACAGTTTAGCATTTTATAAAGCAATAATCCCTGTTTCCCAGGTCCAGGCGACGTCGGCAGGCAGAGTTACAGCCATTCCCTTCTGGTACCAGATCCACCTGGACCAGGAGATCAGCGTCAGCACCCTCAGCCAGAACTCCCACTGGAAGCAGGCGGCCGTGGTGCTGCAGCAGCCTCTGAAGGTGCAGGCCGGAGACTGGGTGCGCCTCGCTGTGAAGCTTCAGAAGAGTGCCATCTCCATATCAGCACACATAGAGAATCCCCCCGGACCAATGGAACAATAATCTCTCACAGTATTTTAGCAATTAAGTTTCATTTCGATGTATGTTAACCCTCAATTAAATAGAGGCTCATAGGGAAGTGCATTAAACACTATGCAGTGATTTTCTGGTTACATTTAAAGGTCCAACTTCTGTAGCGTTGTTTTCCGTCTTCAAAGTTTTTTCCCAGACACATGGGATCTGTTTTGAGCTTTAGTAGAATCCTACATGAGCCACGCCATTTGGGAATCAGCATCTGTAACGATAAACCTTTAAGTCATGTTTTTATTTCTACATTGTGCCATAAAATGATAGGACATTTAAACTTGTACTTATGAATATATTATTTGTAAGTATATCAATATTATAGATGTCCCTTGATTATGGAAACAGTTGTTTTTGTAAAGCTGTATGTTGGTATCAATTTTAAAAAAAGTCAAAGAATTAATGTCATTTTCTTAATAAATTCAAGACAAAAGAATTTGGAAATTGGAATTTATCTGATTTATTGAAGAGACTGTCAGAGAAGTTAAATGTGGAATCATTTACATCAGCTCTGATGTAATCCTATCAGTTTTATTGAAGAACAAAAATGATATAAGGCAATGTGCTTTAGTCAGACATGATGCAGATTATGCTGATATTTCCATACATTTGTGTCTTTTTTCAGACAAACTGATATCATACACTTGCATTAAATATGTCAATATCCCTGCTCAAAATAAATCATGTCACAACATTGACAAAAGAGCTCAGAGAGTCCATGAAGAAGACAACAAATGGTCATTCCAGCTCAAATCAACGGGTAACACCTCATCAAATAAAACAGCTCCTGGAATATAAAGGCTGTATTGATGTAGTGGCTGCAGTAGTTCCACGGCACATGTAACAAGGCATCACATGTTTCAGTTGGCTGTGTGCATTAAGCACTGTTGGGGAATTAACCAGACTGCTGATTTGAACAGTGATTGAATTGTGTTTGTTGTCTTAATACTCAGACTGTACATCCAGTATATACTCAAACTCAAACAAATATATTGTTTTTTATTCCGTCAGGGCACATCTTTCAGCACTAGTCAGTAGTTAATTACTGCATGAGACCGTTTAGTCTCAAATGTGCATCAACAAAGTGTGTTGCTTCTGCTATTTAATCCCTTCCCTCTGGGGTACAGATATTGTACGGACTAGGGCCAACAAAATAAGAGGATACTGGACATCTAATGTGCTTTAGTACCGTAGATACTACAATGTGACATTACTTATTTCAATCAATGTCCTCTGAAATCCCTATAAAGTAAGATATAGAATAAGGAAAACATTTAGTAACATTGCATATTTCACTTAATCACCCAACTATAACATTTGAGGTCATGATTTGACAGAAAAAAAGTAGCAATTTCCTGTTTGGATATTCATCCAAGCTTTGATCAGAGTTCAGCAAGGGTTAACTGGTGTCTTATCGCAACACACACGACAGTATGCTTCGAGACACATTCAAATAAACTGGAATTTCCCAATAACAATTCATTTTAAAATCCTTCTTCTCCTGTGCCATATAACTCCCAAGTACAACGAAACTGCGTAAAATGCTTTTTTAAAAAAAAAATCATTTAGTGCCATACCTTCACTGAACATTCTTGGAGCCGTCACTGGGAGAGAGGTCCATCTGACTTTGCATTTATTTGCAAACTTCTATTACTTTGTGGATGTGCCCTTCAAACAGCAGTTTATTTAATACTGTATCAGTACAGTAACGTCTGAAGTAAGATGGCAAGGCTGTGATTGGGTCCCGCCCAACAATGTCTGATTAGTAACATCGGTCGTAACGAGAGTCTAGGTGATCTCGATGAGATCTGCCTCAGCTGGTTCTTTGGTTTGGTCGGACCTTTCCCCTTCCTGGCTTTTCTCAGGTTCAGCTTCAGGTTCAGCTTCATATCCTTCATCCCAGGGGGCCGAGCTGAGCCCAGCGGGGGCCGACCGGGAGTGAGGTGTGGGGGTTCTGCCCAGACCCTGGTACTGACCATTGGGAGACACAGGGTGGGCTGCTGCTTCTGTGATGGCATCCTGGGAGGCCGAGGAGAGCAGGCCAGATCGCTCCCCATCCTCCTGCGCCTCACCGAAGTAGGACTTCCTGGGACGACCCATAACTGTTCTGCCTGTAGATAAGGACACGACACATCTTAACCCTTCTCTCGATATTGGAGGTTATCGAACCAGATCATTTCATTTACAGCTGTGGAAGCACTATGGTACTCAGGGGGCACTTACCAACATTGCGGACTTGTTCAGAAATGTCTGCCCTGACATCAGAAACGTCCCACATTGCCATAAAAGAGTCAAAGCAAGAACCCTCCTCAGCCTCCTGGATGTACGGCTTGTAAGTGAAGCTGAAGTGATGGGCAATGGCTGCCAGAAACATCTCCACACAGATGACGAAATCCTGAGAAAAACACTCGGTTGGTTTCACACAGATAAAAGTGAAGTGAAGAGGCCATATAGTTTTACTAATAGTATGACTTTTTCTTTATGTGCCAATATTTAGACACCAAGATCAAACCCAGAACATGAAGTTATTCTCACACTTTAAAATGTATCAATTACCCAGATTTGCTTTAGCTTACCTGTAAGCCAGTAGCTACAGCCTCCACACTTTTCCAGTCCCATGAACTGTCCACTGTGATAACGCCTGTTTTTACCAGCAAAGCAATGAACACAGCTTGCCTAGTAGAGTTAAACAATAACCAATTATTAGCTAGTATACACATCACAATCTCATGGCTGTAGATCCAGAGACTGCAAGCTTACTTCACCAGCATATGTCATTTCTAGAAAAAAGGTAAAAACAACTCATACAAAGTATTTATTCCCAAAATGTCAATGTCAAAAATCATTTTGAACACACTGAGAATTACCAGAAAGAGACGAACACCACCATTTTGACGCATAGGAATTTCCCCACTGGCTTGATTGGACCGAGTTCTTCTCTCAGAGCCCGGTAGAACAGCACCAGGCAGTACATGGCAAACTAGATCAAGAGAAGAAATCTATTTCAAGATACGCAATTTAAAACATGCATATTATCTTTTATTGCAGTCCCAGACACTGTCTTAACTAAAACTCAAGAAGCAGTAGTGGTATTACCAGCTGTGACATATTGTTGAAGATGACCAGGTACGTCCATGCATTTTTCGAACTAAAATTGCCTTCATCATAAACTCCACACAGCTGACAGATTCTAGGAAGGAGAAGAAAGAGTCAAATCATACATCAGTTAAAATAGTGAACAAAAAGGCTAGATTGGTATCACGGCAGAAATGAAGGGCATGAAGAGCACAGATGACTTACAAGGCAATCACTGTTGTGATAGGTCTTACTACGGTGTACTGCAACACTCCCAGTTTGCATCTCAACAGAAGAACCCTGCAGAGGAAAGGTTTGAAGAAAATAATAAGTTTAACAACACCTGGTTTGCTTACATCGGTACAAATATATTCAACTTAAAATAAAACCCAATCACTTATCGTTACGAAAAATGTGTTGAGAGGATTGGAATGATAACAATTCAAAATGTATCTGCCTGATTTTCCTCAATAACTATTTGATCATTATCTCACATGCAACAATACTGGAAAGGGTAAGAAGAACATTTAAAAAAGGGCAGTATTATAAAATACTACACTACAATCTGATTGTAGTAGAAGATCAGGATAAATAGACGGCACGTGAGCATGTTAGCCAAAAATAGATGTTGCCCGACTGAGGCTCATTAGAAGCTGGTGACTGTCATGGATTTGTTAACTAAGTTGCCTTGAAACAAACTTTTTAAAAAACGACAAGTAAAAAGACTTGTCACATTTTATTTTTAAGTCCTTTTCATGTTTGTTTCTTCAAAACTTTTAACACCTCCTTGAAAACAAATAATATAAACAAGATTGTTGCAAGGTTTTCCTTTGTGCAAGAACATTGATAAAATACTAACAAAACTATTACAATCCCTATTGTGTAAATGTAGTTAGATCTATAATTGTTAGCAATTCAAGAAGAGTGTAAGGACTTACCACTATGAAGGATGAATGGCAATCATTCATTTTACGCCAAATCATTGACCAGTGTTGGTTGAGCATTTGTATCTATATATATGCGTGTTGGCTGCCGCATAATAAGTGACATTTGTATGCATTTCCATCCTTATTGTTAAAGTGTCTCATGTTAAAGGAAACATACTCTCCCATTGGCCAGGGCGGGCAGCAGCACAGAGGGGGGAGGTGTCTCTGCTGATCCTGGGCCTCCAGCATGGACACCAGGCTGGGGTACTGATTCTCAAGGTAGTTCAGCAAGAAGGTCATGAAGTTGTAGATAACATAGGCCTCATAGCACTCTCTGCATGTGTCCACATAAATTGCTATACTGGGCCATTTTAATGCAATCCACTGCAAAATAAAACATAAAAACAAAGAGATGGATTACATGAAAAGTAATGTAAGACAATGGTTCAGGGGAATGGTAATATATGTTGTGTTTTCAAAGCTACAGCAAGTCTGTGGATGCCTACATATGACACCTATATTTACAGTGTGTTCCACAATGGATGTGATCATAATATACACAACTCACACTGTCTAAGCTGTAGATTGGGACCATCCACAGTATTCTGAAACACAAACAGACACAAATGATTAAATAGCAGTTTCAGACTGTTGTTCATGATTGGCATGCCCGCTGACTTCTTTACCTGATGATGGGTTTCTGAAGCTCTGGCTGAGTGTAGTGAACCAGATGCTGCAGGATGCCCCATAATGATATGGGTATGGTCATGAAGACAAATATCCCAGCGATGAACCATGCTTTGTTATGAGTGCCAACCTGTCATTACATGGGAAGAAACAGACAACAAAGTTAACTTATTTTTACATTTAAGTAAAAACAGATTTCGTAGTCAAGTACCAGGTGTACTCAGTTACATTTCACCACTGTGTTAAACCAACAGGGCTACCAGAATCAAAATTGAAGTCCCAGGCTTCTCCAATAAATCAACATAAGGATATATAAGACATTAAAAAAAACTTTAAAAAAAACAAATACAAATAGTACAAACAGGAACTGAGTAGAAATACTATTAAATAGTCAAAGAGAATATTGCAAGACAAATGTGTAAGTATTGCAGAATAATTAAACTATATACATGTCAAATAAAATACAACAAGCTAAATGTTGCAGAGAATGTAGTAAGAGACAAAGTCAATGCAGTAGTCTACATACATGTAAAATAGCATAAGATAAACAAGAACATAATTTACTATTAAGAACTGAATGTCCAATTAAGCAACATATGAATCATATCCAGCAATCGTTTGAACTGACCCCTGACTTCTGCAGTTCCCATATGCACAGTGGCAGGACGACTAGGAGCAACAATATATAAAGCACGACGACCAGCGGCCGGATCCATCTTCTCCAGTTGCCACAGGAACAAGGCATGTTGACATGAAGACGCTGCAGGCAAGGCCTTTAGAAACTAGCTGCAGGTTCGCAGGTGACAAAACAAATGACCTAACGCTCCACACATTAAACGTTAGCTTTGCATTGTTATTCTTCAAAAGGCTCTGCGAGACACAGGACAACCTCTCAGTTGTGTACAGGTACGTTAGCTATCCCAATAATGTGAATTCACACTCGTGACTGAGGACAAAGCTGCTGGAAAATAACAGCTCATATGACTCGATTTTTAAAGCTAGGTTGCTAACGTTAGCTAGTCAGCTTTTCATAATGTAAACAAACAGAGCAGATGATCCAGTCTGAACGGATGAAAGTTCTTCAATGTCTACCGAAATAAAATAAAACTCGTCGCTGATATATCAATCCTCTCTCTAGACAAATTCATTCTTTACACTATTTGTTTTGGTAGCTTCTCGCTGTGAAAACTTTCCTCAAAAGTAATTGCCGTTTAATGTGTTCTTCCTGTTGCCTGCGTCATACGTAGTCCCGGCTACAATCTTGTATCTGATTGGTGGAATCGAGACAATCAGCCAATCGCTAAAGAGAGATTGCTTTTCCATTCTGACGTTACTTGGGGCTTGTTTTGTTTGCATTGATCACATGATCTGTGTATCGCCAGCAGATGGCAGTATGCGAATAATCATTTACCTTGATACTATGCCTAAAATCCATTGTAGTGGATTCATACTGGGCCCCATTTTTACAGTTGTATATTGCACTTTAAAGCTATACAGACTTACAACATGGGGTCCTTTTTCTTTGTGCTGTTTAGGCAATTGGTAAGTTAATATTAAAAAAAGAACGGTCCAAAGATTTACTCCCATCTCCATTATAATTACCCATCAATCAATGAATCTGTGCTTCATTTATTAGTTTGTATTTAAGGCCTATTAATTGAAAGTGAATGTATGGACAGAGTTGTTTATTTTAGTATGCCCAGCCGTTTTTTTTATTGCACAGCCTGCGCTTTGTGTTTGTATTTTTCTAATCTAAATCCTGCATTAACAAGGTAATTAAGAACACCCATCAGAACCTCCTCCTTACCTTCCGCTCTTGTGTGCAGACTGTGCACGTGTATTTGCACATGTTTGAGTATGTT